ATGGGACAGAGCCTTTCCAGCATGCTTAGCAGGCCGACAGCCTTCCCATGCGCAGACAGGAAGCCCCATCAGGTTGATGAGCAATGACCACAGCTTGCAGGAGCCAACTTTGAGCCCCAGAGACTGCAAATGGAGCAGCGCGGTTTGCGCCTGGGAAGGCTCAGCCGTGTTGGGCCCAAGGCAGCCGAGGGAAGAGAGTGGGTGTGGGGAAGGCAGAACAATCAGGTACTGGAGGAGCAAGTATGTTCCTGCCCCAGAATGAGTCATAGGTGGGGCCCTGCCCACACGCAACACCCACTTCCCTGTCAGCCCCGGTGCCGCTGCCCACGTCTGAGTGTGAGCGAGAAACCGCCAGAGAACAAAGAGAAAGGAGGAGGGGGGCTTGCTCGAAAACAACCGCGCCGTATCTCTGCAGAGCTGATGCCACAGCAGACAAGCAGAGCTAGAACCCAGGCGCCCTGACTTTCTGCTTCACGGTGCTCTAACCACTAGCCTGCACTCCCTTCCAAAGCTGGGGCTAGAACCCAAGAGTCCAGATGTTAGGCCCGGCTCTAGCCACTACACAACACTCCCTCACCCAGAACTCCCAACTCCCAGGTCTCTACACTCCCCACTAGACAACACTCTCTTCTAAGCCTGGCTCAGCACCTGATTCCCAGTCTTCTCCTCCAACCACGGAAATTATTGAACAAGACTAGTATGGAAGCAATGTGGGAGAGCGGCCAGGTATTTGCCTCGCTTTGTCACTCATTGGAACACACCCAAAAGAGGGAGCGGAGCTGCTGGTTTCCCAAGGGGTTCTGGCGATAGCGACCCGCTGCAGCAATCGGACTTTGCTAACGGGAGCCCTGCAAGCGCCAGCCTGGGAGCTCATCAGTGCTGCCTGATGGCGTGTGGGAACTTGTAGGCACCATCTGCTGCGGATATTGGCTTCATCAAGGTCTGTCTCCCCCGCACCTGCGCGATGGAGGGGGGACGTGGCAGACTGGAGGAACGGAGCGAGAAGCAGGGAGGGGTCTGTGTGTTAGCACGCAGGGCCCCAGGGAGCAGCGCTAGGGAAATATGTGGACACGGACAGGCTGGTCAGACACGGAGATGCCCTGAGGCTGCTCTGATTTACGCTTCAATTCCTGTGGCTCCCTCTAGCCCTTAGGGAGCAGCCATAGTGCAGTGGGCCCTGCTCACACCCCGCTCTGCCCCTCTAAGACCCCCGTCAGGCCGCCAGAGCCTGAGGATAAGTAGGAATCCGGCCTGCTCCTCTGTGGCAGGCTGCTTTTCGACCGGCTCAAGGCCACCTTGCGAGTGTCCGAGTGGACCACATGGTCAAGCCCTCTAGCCGTTGTGCAAACCCCTCGCCCCCGTGCAAAGTCACGTTGGTTTGCACTGGCGTTAGTGATGAGGGAGTCGGAGCCCGGGGTAGTTCTGCAGGGGCCAAGTGCAGTTGTGTCCAAGCCATGGGTTCGGACTGACGAGGTGGGATGTATGTGGAGGGGCACTCCAGATGGGATCCCCTGTAAGCTGAGTGCTTGAGCGGCCACCCAGGAGAGATTCACCTGCTGCCCAGCTGATTAGCAGAGCACCCACAGCTTCCCACAGCCGGCAGCATGTCTTTCAATTGGTGGTGCACATCTGTGTCTGCCTTGGTGCACATAACAAAATTAATTCCTCACATAGGTGGGAAAAATTAGAGGGAACATTGGCTCCAGACTGTCCCTGCCCTCTTTCCTGCAGGAGCCAAAGCCCCTTGCCCGGGGGGGAATGATCAAGCAGAGGCCACACTGTCTCTATAGGGAGCTCTTCCCAGCGTTCACAGTGACACCTACTGGGTACTTGCTCCAGGGTTGTGGCGAGGGACCAGCACAAACAGACGGAGGGACTTTCTCCGGGATATTTGCTTTTTTCTGGGCTCCAGTGGGATCTGTGCATGCAGCTGCTCCAGGCAGCGTAAGGCAGACATTGATCAGCAGCGCTGCTTCCTCCCAGGCAACGAGTGTGCATATCTCTCGCTGGCATCAGAGCTCAGCCCTGCTGGCAGAGGTTCCTTGTCTGCCGGCCACTTGATTGGTAAACCTCAAGTCTCTGCTGATAAGGATCACCCACAGAGACTGCTCTGCGCGTGCCCCGGGGAATGGAGCGTGGTGATTGAGTGCCGGGGCTGGCAGCAGAGCCCTTGTGCCAGGAGGCCCTCTGGTCTGAGATGCTGGCTGCCACCCCGGGGGAGTCCAGCCTTCCTGTTAGAAAGATGTAACCTTGCTGCAGCCTCAGCTTCTTCCATCTTGACCTCACTCTGGGGGGAGAACAATTATCCCTGTCCTTATCACAGCCCTGAACATACCACAGCCAGGTTCCCCCTCAGTCACCTTCCCGCAAAACTCAGCGGCTTGGAAATCGGCCGGCATCCCTGGTGATGGGAATCGCCGTGGGCCTACAACATACAGGCTCCTCTTCGTGAGGCTTTCTGGATTGCCTGTCAATACCAGGTAGCTTCCCTAAAGAGAGCTGGCTCCAAAGCAGGCAGCTCAGCTTAGAAGGACTAGGCAGAGCAGAAGGCTAGTGGGTAGAGCTGGGGGAGCCCAGGGCTGGGAAAGCAGGAGAGCTGTGGGTTGGGACTGAGGAGCATGGACATAGTTGAAGGAAGTTCCCTGTACCCAGAGGCCGGCCCTGCTGTCTATGACCCCTGGCTTTTGGGGTTCCGCTGGTCCCACTGGCTTCACCACTCCCTGGGATCCTGGCAGGCTCTGTTGGATCCTCAGGGTCCTGTCACACACTGCTCCTGCCCCAGCAGGGTCCGCAGCCTGCTGGCCTTGCTGGCCCCACTGTCTAGGCCAGTGGCTCTGAAGTCTCTGCTGCCCCACCACATGCCCAGGACTCTGACTCTCTCTCAGCTCAGTGACTGTCCCCAGCTGCGGCCCCAGCTTGGGACGGCAAACAGCTAGAGTTACTAACTCTCCTGGAACGGATGGACTGGACTTCATTGCTATGAATATGGTCCGGTCGTCCAAACCGGGAGAGTTGGCAACCACTGGAGGGGCACAAATGGGTGTAAGGGGGGGAGGTAACTCAGCACCCCCTCTCTAAAAATTGTTCCAGAACCAGTGAGCACCAGCAGAGCTGTGTGCTGGCAGCTGAAGGGAAGGGAGGGAAGCCCCCTGTCCCTTTATCCCTCATCGTCCACCCTGCTAACAACTCCTGTTAGAGGAGCCTAAGGGGGACAGGATAGAGGTCTATACAATCATGACTGGTGTGGAGAAAATGAATAAGGAAAAATTATTATGTGTTCCCATAACATAGATGCTAGGGGGTCACCATATGAAATTAATAGGTAGCAGGTTTAAAACCAAAAAAAGTAAGCAGCGCACAGTCAACCTGTGGAACTCCTTGCCAGAGGATATTGTGAAGGCCAGGACTTTAACAGGGTTCAAAAAAGAACTAGATCAGTGGCTCCCAACCTGGGGTGGTACTGTAAGGGGTCCATGGAAAGTATAGGAAAGGAAAAGAAAAGTAAGGATCAGGCCCACTGAGGGCCTGGGACTTTCCGCTGGGCGATTCTTGCTTGCGGCTTGCCATTTGCGACTGGCTGCGCGCATGCTGCCTCCTGTCCTCAGGATGGGATCTTGATAGCCCAGGAGGCACCATCTGTCTTCCTGCCACCAGCTGCGCTGCCGTTTATGCTCCACCCCTCTCCCACCTCCCTGTCCGACAGTGGGCCTGATCCTTACTTTTCTTTTCTTTTCTTTTCTTTCTCCCCCAGGGCTCTATGCACGACCAAGGGCGGAGTGCCAGGGCAGGAGATGCCTTTGGCCATAAGAACCCCCTCACTGTATCCTCTCTGGATGGGCAGGATTGGAGGAGGCAGGAGCTGAGGAAGCAGCGCAGGCCAATGGACATGCTGGCCACTGCTTCCGGCCGGTCCCCTTGTGGGGGGGAGGTCTGTACAATTTTAACAGATTGAAAACGGGTTCACATGCTCGACAGGGTTGGGAACCACTGAACTAGAGAAGATCATGAAGGATGGGTCCATCAATAGCTATTAGCCAGGATGGGCAGGGATGGTGTCCCTCGCCTCTGTTTGTCAGAAGCTGGGAATGGGTGACAGAGGAGGGACCACGTGACGATTCCCTGTGCTGCTCACACCCTCTGGGGCACCTGGCATTGGCCACTGTTGGACGACAGGACACTGGGGTAGATGGACCTTTGGTCTGACCCAGTCTGACTGTTCTTATGTTCTGTCTGTCTCCGCAGAGTTTGAACATAAAGATTTGCAAAGGGCTGGAGCTGTGCTGCCCACACGCAGGAACAGCAGAAAGGCACCAGATAGCAAGGCAGAGGTGTCTAGTAGCTACAGCAGGAGAGTCAGGTACTTGGCTTCAGTCCCCTGGGCTGTGTCCAGACTCAGGGGTTTTTTCGAAAAAAGTAGCCTTTTTTCGAAAAAACTTCCCCTGCGTCCAGACTCAAGCCGCGTTCTTTCGAAATTAATTTGAAAGAACGCGGCTTTTCTTTCGATGGCGGTAAACCTCAATTTACGAGGAAGAACGGTGTTAAGTCGTCCCCCACCCTCCTGGGTTTAGCTCAGTGTTTCTCAAACTTTTTTTTGTAAAGTACCCCTTTAAAAAAAGTCCCCCCTTTAAAAACAATAAAATTAGAAGTACCCCTAGTACCTACAGTTTTCAGACACACACAATTTTTTCTACCATTGCAACACATTTGTTTAAACAACTTAATCATAGCCGGGCAGGCAATGAAATTTTGGGTATAAAAAGTACAAAAATAATAAAGTGCTGTAAAACTTACAACAAAAATTCTGTTTTCTCCAAATTTCAGTTGTGTTGAAGTACCCCTCAGACTTCTCTTGAACCACTGATTGAGAAACATTGGTTTAGCTAACATAGCAATAGCAGTGTTAAGGCCCCCCCCTTCACCTAAAAGTCTTGCTAAGTATTGTAGCATACAAAGAGAGAGTGGAAGGGTGGAGCCTAGCCCACAGCCCCGCCCACAAAGCCTCTATAAAGTCCAGTCAGCTGCTTTCATTTTACCTCAATATGGCTGCTGCTGGAGATCCTAATGCAACAGGTGAGGGTAGTGAGTTCCCTGTAGCATGAGACTCCCATTGTTCTGAGAGGTGCTTCTCTGTTTAGCTGGCAGTGGGTGGTGGGGTGCAAAGGGGGTGGTTGGGTCCATAGGTTGGTTGTGTCTGGCCCTATGTGTGGGGAAAGGCTGGCCAGATGGCATTGCTGTTTAGAGAGTCTATTTTTAAGATGCTGTAACTCTAGTCCAGTAGCAGCTTTGTGGCTTTAAATACATAGAGTGTGCCTGGGGTTTTGCCTAAATAAATTACGGGTGCTTCCTGCCTGAGTAGTGGCTCTAATTCAGTGTAACTAAGTTACCCCATGCTCTGCTAATTGGATTGATCACTGTAAGTTAATGAAACTAATCTTTTCAAACCAGATTATTTGCTGATGTGGAAATAATTATCTACTGACCTGGAGACTGTGAATCAAATCAGAGACTTTATTGTGACTCCAGGGGAAATTGTCCTTTCTTCTGCTGTATGGCCTTGCTTGCTAGCAGTTCCTAGCCAGCCGCCATGCCTTGTTAATGGTTGCAGGGAGGAAACACCATAGCTGAGGAGGGTGAGTGGCTCTTCCTGGTCACTAACTTAAAAAACAAAACAAGGCTAACCACAAAATTTCTTGGGACGTAAGCTTCACTCCTGGTGTTAATCAGAAGGTGGAATATCCCACGAGGTGTCAGCTCGGCCTATCTGCTCACTTTTTTGGAGAGACAGGCTGGTCTGATGATTAAGGTGCTGTCTAGGACTTGGGGAAACCCAGGATAAGTCCCTCCTGTGCCTTAGGGCAAGGTGAACGCTGCCCGGCTGCGAGCTGCCAGGCCACGCAGTGCAGCCAACCATAACAGGCCGCCTTGGGGCCCACAAACTCTTTGGCTGGGCTTGTTCCTGTGCCCCAGGAGTGTGGTGGTGGCCTCCCTGTGCCAGTTTTCCCCCTATACAATGGGGCTGTTGGCACTTCCCAGAAGGTGTGTGTGAGGGGGGGGTTCTTACTAGCAGATGGGGCGGGGAGGGGTGCTGTGTGTGTGTGTCTAAGATGGGCAGCTCCGTGGGAGTGGCAATGCAGAGGGCCCCCACCGAATGTGGTGAGGCAGCAGCTGTGCTGGGATCCCCCACTGGAACGGCTTCGGTGTGGCTGCCTTGGCCTCCCTCCCCATCCGCCCGTGA